TTAGCTCTATGTTGAAGAATTTAAGAGATTTGGGCATTATATGTAGTTAGATATAGATTTAGCTATTTAAAGGTTGGAAATTAAGTTGAAAGCAAAGACTTAGCTGTGGAATGGAAAGTTTTATGCATGAATATTGATGAATTTACATTGTAAATGCTAGATGATTTTGGGAGTGAGAATGCTACCCAAATGCTAAATTGTATGGATTGAAGCTAAAGAATTGATAAGCTGAAATTGAAACTTGGTGAGCTGAATTGTGCAAGGTTAATAAAGGAACAGTTGAAGTGCCAAGGTGAGTGGAGAATTTTTATGTATAAGAGCACAATGACTAGGGTGCATGTATGCTTCTATAATGAAAATGCATGATATATGCTATGTATACACCATATGTATGTCTAAAGGTAGTATTCCTAGATTAGTAATGTTATGAATGATGTAAATTGCCTAAAAAGATTATATTTAGGCTTAAGTATGATGATGCTAATGTGATCATGAAACTATGACATGAGAAAATGATGTCTAGCTTGATATGAATATGATATACACATCTAGAGATGTTATGTCTATAGTAAGTAAATGTCATGAGCACTATGTAAAATGCCTAGAAAGATAATACCTAGGCTAAAGTGATGATGAGCTAATATAATGATGAGCATGATTGGTTGAGATTATTAATGATGAATATGAGCTATCCACAAATGATTCCAAACAATGTTATGATGTGAAATGAGCATGTTCCATCCGTGGAGGATTTCCATATGATGTATATTATAAGGTTGTATCTAGATTCTTGTGACTATATATGCTGCCAATAAGAATGGTGATAAGCAGGGATGGTGGTTTCATCCCACTTGTGATTTTCGCCTGTTGTGCAATGATTATGTTTCACCTATGAGTATGGTGGTAAGCAAGGATGGTGGTTTCATCCCGCCTGTGATTCCCACCCATAATGCCATGATGTCATCCATTGAGAATACTTCGAATGATGATTATAGATTCCATCATATGCTTTGACAATGGGGCATGACATGATGATGTATGTTGTCCTTGATTAGCCACTACACATGACTATGTTATGTCTAGGGAGGACCACTTTATGATATGTTATGATGTTATGAATATGTAGTGGCATGCCATAGGATATGAAATGTACACTATAAACGTTGTGCTATGAATTGATGATTAATACAAAGGCTTGCAGCAAAGCCATATGTATATGATAAATGCAATATGATGAAATGCAAGCTTATGGAGTCTAAGGACTTTTGCATTGATGTGGACGCCTAAAAAGTAAGTATGATTAGAATGTATGTAGATGGCCATATGGTGGACTAGTTCATATGCTAGATAAGGCCAATAAACGGCATTCATGATAGACATAGATCACCTTACCCTTTTTATGTATAATGTTTATATGTAGCAACATAGTACAATTGCCAAGACAATGATAATGTGTTCATGACGGGTGATGTCCAACCTGTCCTATTATAATTATACTGAGCTTACTGATGTATATTCATGTTTAAAGGATATGTGTAGCAACTATCCCTATACAATTACAATTGATTTATGCTCCCGTTCACTGAGTACCAATGTGACTCATCCATTTTGATTGTATTGTGCAAAAAAATAGAAACTAAGGATCAAGTGGTTTAACGTTGTTGTTATCAGACACCAATTTTGGCAAATGGTATGTTATCCGCTGATGATGTAACTCCTCTGGGTCATAGATTGAGTCTTACGGTTCCACATTACGTAAACAAGTGTGTTGTTAAAGGATTATGTGGGCATTACGCTACCTAATGTTTATGTAATGAGATATTAAATAGATGGATGAGACAACCAATGCATGACTATATGAAATTATGTTTAAGTCTAGTGTAAGAATATGAACCATGGGGTTATATTATGAACTATGTAAGTCTCGCGGCTTCCTTGCCAAGCTCATTCGTGCCAGTCACCACTTTCCGATTTGGGTTGTGACACTATTGACAAAGGATACCATCTTCTTAGCGCTCCTTTTATTCTTAGTGACTTTGAAATTGGCAAGGAATCCAATGATTCTACAACTTTTTTCCTTGATATGGCCATTCTTTCCTCTATGTGAACATATCAAGTGTATATCTCATTCTACCCTCAGTAAGTGTTGCCATAGCATAGGTTTCTATAAAGGGCTATGCTTGCAAATGCAGTGATCTTTGTGATTCTTCCTTAAGAACTAAGTTATATGCTTCATGAAATGAGGGAAAAGGTTTTGGCATAACTATGTGTGATCTTAAGGCAAAATAGGTGCCATTTAATCCGTTGATAAATCTAAACACATTATCTTTCTAGCATTAATCTATATATTTTTGAAAACAAAATTGATTACATTTTTCACATTCACAATGAGATAACGACCTATGGTTCCTCAATTCTTCTCATAAGCCATTCAATTCAATAAAATTTGTGTCTACTAATCATGTACCTTGACTAATACTACATAGAGAGAATTGGAGCTTGCAAATTCTAACATCTTTTTTTAAAAAAAAGGTGATTGCAAATTCTAGCATTATTAGGATGAGGGAATCGTTTCTTCAAGGTATTATAAATTTGAGAGGCAGTTCATGTAGGAGATAGCAACAACGATCAGTGGTGTGATTGATTCCAGTAACCACACCATAATGAGATTGTTGCATCTGATACAGGGAATGTACAAATCATCCATAGCCATAGGTTCTTGAATCGATCCATCAATGAAACTAGGTTTTTTTTTTGAATTAACAGGACCAGAAAAAGGATCTACTAAAAGAAGTATAATTGCTTAAGGTGAGCTTTGGATTGACTATCACAGATTCATGATGATCTATATGATGCAGAAAATACGGTGAAGGTGGATTTTGTAAGGATGAGAGAATCAACATAGAGGATAAGACAATCATTTTAGAGAAAAAAATGTTAAATTTTGAATTCAATTTTAAGGGGATGATGGCTGTGATTTGAGATGGAATTGTTGAAGAAATCGCAACAGGAATTCTAATCATGGCTCTATTACCATGTAAAGATTGAGAGAGGAAGAAACGGATTTGAGTATGGAAGAAAATGAATTGATTCTCGTAACTAACAATTAGTTACAAAGGAATATTTATACTTGTTGGAAATTTTGAATACAAGCCATTTAAGCGTAACTTTAATTAATTGGCTAAAGGCTTCAATTAGCTAATTAATTAACTAATTAACTAAGCTTGGCACATGATAGTCACGATGCATTACTCTTGAAACATACCAAAAAGAGATATGCTCATGAATGTGATCATTTCCATATCGATGAAGGGATCATGGCGTCAAGCCATCAAATAATACCATAGACAAAGAAAATGAAACAGCCACTCTCCAATAACATTTTAGAAGCAAATATTCTCTTTAGTAGATAGACTCTTAAAGTTTGATGAAGCAATACTCCATTATATTTTACTCTTTATTTGACAAGAAATCTTTTACTGTTTAAGTTTCAAAAATACTGACATGACTTAAAAAGAAAAAATAACTTTTCATACATAGTATTTTGATATTCAAACACTAACTATAAGATTCTTGAATTAATTAGTAGAAACTTTTTTTTATGAGAAACAAATTCTTTTTTTATACAAATGATAAAATTTTTGTAGATAAATGGAACAGTGGATGCACCAAAGACATTTATACGATTGCATGATTTGTGGGGTCAGAAACAGAGGAAGGTGAAGTGTCAGCATCCACCTTGTCATTCCACAGTTTCCTTCTTTCCTTCTCGCACTGTTAGTTAACGTGCCACGTAGGATTAGTGCAATTAGTTGAGAACGACACGTCAACAAAGGGGTGAGGTGGGCCATAGGCTTTTTGGGGAGCATAATCAATCTGTTCAACTGATCTTCCATTCATAATGTGGCAAGATTTTTGTTGTTTTTTATCATCCATGTAAGCAATGCAATATATATATATATATAAAGTTTTAAGTTAATTAAAAGGTTGGAGACAGGATATCCAACTTCCTAAATCAACGTGTTAATTATTCTTATTGACTAAACCTCCCCAACTTGCTTTGCTTTTTCTTCACCAAACAATGTTGGATGTTTGTCTTTGCTTTGTCCTTTGGCTTTGCAACTGAACTCGGAATTAAATTTTGATCGAGCAACAAACAGCAATTCTTTGTTACTCTTTCATCTAAAATCTCCCTGTTGCATAGCTTCAAAATTAACGATCACGGTTGTTTCGGACGCTGTATTAAGGTATACAGTTCTTGGGATATATGTGGGATATGATACTATGAGCTCTTGCAGGGATTGAGTCTCTACAAAATTTAGAGATTCACAGTCGGATGAGGCAATTCAAATTCTATGCTGTGCAAAGAATATCTCAATCTTGACGGTTGAAACTGATCATCTTCTAGTTAGTATTACAGATTCAGTTGATGGAATATAATGGCAAGCTATAATCAAGCAACCACTGCAAGTTGAAGATCATATCAGAATATATTCTTTGGCCAGAACTTTCTGCTGGAAACTGCATTTTGTCCAATCAAGAAAATGGCAAGACCTGCAAAAGCTTCAAACCTTGTATATTCAGAAACAACCCCAGATGAATTGAATGTGAGTTTAATCTTACCACGTGCACTAGATGGAATGATATACTATCAAAGATGCTTCAGCTTCCGAGAATTATAAATAGCGAACAAGCAGCTTAGAAATTTTTATTGCTAAAAGTTCCATTCGGGTGCACATTGTACGGACTCTAAGAAGCATTACATTATACTAGCAAGGTGCGACAACAGCAACTCCCACAAATAGAAAATCCTGTACAAAACAATCAAAGAAAACAAACCACTCAAAAACACTCATCCCATGTTTGTTGTTTAGTTCATACTAGACACTATCATACACTAAACAGTGCCTACTCTTTTCTCACTTTTATTTTCATTTTTTATGGTGGAGATATTGGGAGAGCTTTTTATTATTATTATGCTTATTGTCATAGATAATATATTAAGGGAATTTCCAAAGGTTCTCAGCATCTCCAGCGTTATCGGCGGGAGCAGGAGCAGGAGCAATGTCCAAGCGAGGAGGGCTAAGAAGCATCCCTTCAGCCATATTGACAAGAACATTAGGCATATCAAAGATCAAATCCTCATCGACAAACTCATCAACCGTAGTCGGTTTGTCAGGTCCTATTGGACTGTTTTTAGCCTCATTATCCTCATTTCCGAATAAAGCATCATTTGCAGCCCCCAAAGCTGCCGCTGCTGAGGTTGCAGCCGCCTGGATATCACGTGGGGAGGTTGAGGCAGGCACAGGCAAAGAAGCAGCAGAGTTTGGGAAGTTAAGCTCTGCATCTTGGCCTTTTAGGGCAAGTGCGGCAACATCATAAGCAATAGCTGCCATTTCAGCAGTAGGAAATGTACCGAGCCAGATTCTGTTGGGCTTCCTTGGCTCTCTAATCTCAGACACCCATTTCCCACTAGTCCGACGCCTTACGCCCCTATAGACCGGGTGCCGCCCTGTAGCAGCAGAAGCGCCAGCTCCACTAGCGCTGCCCCCACTGCTGCTGCTAGTGTTAGCTCTAGAACTTTGGTTGGATTTTGAGTAATGCATGGTGACTTGAATCTGGTAAAGAGAAATGGCGCGAAGATTTGGGGTTTGAAGTTGGAGTCGAGAGAATCCATTTATGGTGGATGGGAATTTGGGGGTTAAATTCTTGTTGCAGAGAGAAAGATTTTCCAAATTAAGTTTCAAAAGTACTGCAAAGTGCAAACCAGTTGGTGATGAACTGCCGTCTGCTGATAGTTGGGGTGTAAGCCAGATACATGTTGGACATCTGGGTTGGACTGCGTTTTCGGCTGCTGAAATAACTGCCTATATATCATAACAGTGATCTTTTTGGGCTTTATTCAACACTTACTTTTGTTCCCCCAAGAAAACAAGGATTTGAAAATAATAACTACTGTTTGAGTATATGTGGCATATAGAATCTAAGAGCAAAACTTGTCTTGGGCGCGTGCTGATATTGATGCTATGTTTTCCTCCTCGATGATACGCAGCTCTATACTCTTTGCAATCATAAGAAATATTAATCACCTTCAGTAGCTTGTCAACATCAAAAGTGTATATATATATATTGCTGATAGCATTGTTCAACAAGCTACACATTCTTTTGTCAAGATACCAATGAGTTTAGCTCTTTCTGCCTCCATTTGCTAACGACGCGTCTTATATTTGATTTCTTTGAATACAATAATCTGCGGTAGTATTGAAACTAGAAGCTCTGTCGGTATGAACTTTCTCAGTCTAATTAATAATCATCAAATATAGTGACAAGACGAAAGAACACATAGATGCAGGTATTTATCAGGTTTATTCAGTGTATGGCAGCAAGATGACAAAGAATCAGACCTGTTTATTAACTCTGAAAGGTCTACTTCAATTGCTTCAAAAAGTTAAATTAATTAGCTTGACACCTGCACTCAAGGAAGATCGGAAACTGCAATAATCTTGACCATCAGATAGCGTTTGATCCTTTTGCCCAAGTTAGGGAAGGAAATTGGAATTGAACTTTCTGAAGCAATTATCCTTTGTAACTTTATATATTTTTCTTTTGCACAAACCTAACGCCAGTAGAAGTCTCTAGCAATCAGCTAAAGACTTTAGATGGAATGGAGACTTAGAGCAAATAAAATCACCTTTCAAAAAAAAAAAAATTTACCGGTGAAGTACTTGCTAGAATTGGATCGCTTACACTAGTGGAAAATTAAAAATCTTGCAGTAACTTAGTTAAAGTTGTTGACAAATGGTTGTAAACGTGTTTCTGAAAGCAGATTATACTTGTGGTGGAGAGTATATTGTTTTCTCAAACGGATGGCAAATTTCTGTCCTGATCATTCCTCTTTCAGGTGTCTTTTCACCATGTTTTAGTGCAAAAAACAATATTTTCGTGATCAAGATTATAATTAGTCCTGAGAAAATCCAGACAGTTGTATAACAGGAACAGGAAAAACATCTGAGCATACATCACCCACTTGCCATCAAGTGAAAGGAATTAATTGGCCTGGGTAATTCAGAAATCATTTCTTTCGATTGAATTTACCTGGAGCACAATTTGCTCAGAACAGTGGTTTTCTTTATTGCCAAACAGAGAAGATAAAATGGTGTGTGACAAATTGGGTTTGATACAATCAATTCCACAGGGAGTATTTTGCTTTTAATTAAAAGGGCAAGTTTTGTGGAAGCGTTAATACCCTGAAGCCTACCCTTGCGTTGCCAAAAGCTGCTAAAGAACCTCTCGTTTTGGAGTCACGAATCCTGTACACCCACCTACTCAGACCTAAAGCACGTCTAATTGCAACATCATGAAGAGATTTTAAGTGCATGAATTTGGCAGCCATGATCGCACCGTTGACCAACGAGGCCGTGCTAACTTACCAAATTGCAAGCAACCAACCTCTAACCAATTGAAAAGCTTTAAAAAATATATATTATAATGAATGTAATGCAGCCAATTAAGAGCACATATATATAAGCCTTTTGTTATCCTTTCTAATTCAGGGAAAGTGGGGCAAAAAACAATCCATACCTTGCCGCAAATATCAGTCCCTTTAGCATTTAAAAGTCATAGCAAAATGCATAGGTTTTGGACTCGGAGTGGTTTACAAATAAAAAATTAAAAAAAAAAGTCCCCACACAAACAAAAAGCCAGAGCATGAACAATAGTAAATGGTAAAAAACCTGCTGGGGTGAAAAAAAAAAGAGTAAAACTTTCAAGAAATCAGTGCCAAGAGGCAGTGGAATCAGCCCTCTCAATCCATTTGCGCTGTATTTTTGTGGGTGTGATTTGTGCTCCCACCACTATGGGCCTAAAGTCACGCCATGAAAGAGACATTGGGCGAACCTGAAGTGGATAAGGTGAATCTGGAATTCCTGAAGGAGTTGAACTGTAAAGTGTTTTTTTTTTTTTTAATTCATAGAGCATAAAATTATTTTTGGGATACCAATTACCGAATAGTAAGGAATTTGGTTGCAAAAAATACTACTGTAAACGTGTTGCAGAGCGGACCCCGGCGGCCTGGGCGCGTTAGCAACCAAAGACATAAACAGTCTTAGAATCAGAAAGAAAAGACATGTTAAGTCAAACGAGCACCCATAGGGTTAATTTGTGAAACGACAGTAGAAATAGTTGCGGCCGCGCCGCCAAGGACTGCCGCAATGAACTTTGCCTAAAGATAATGTTGTTGGCGGTACGTACGCGGCTACAGTATACAAGGGATGCCAACACGTTTACAGTAGATCATGGATGATTGATTGAATCCTTCTTTCTTTCTTTAATGCTTGGACGTTTGAAAGAGTCACATTCAACATATACTATTTTCCACTTTTCTTTTTCGAAAAGCAACGTACACCCCTGTTATAGGAAAGAAAACGAATAAGTGACCCTTTTTGTTACAATTACGATTAGAGAGACGTGGAACAGTATAGTGAGGACAAATAGTGAACAAGCGGAAGAAAAGCACTTCGTATGCCCAAATTGAAATTTCCTTTTTATCGTTTTCTTACTTCGAGAGTTCCAGCCCTTATTATTCTAAACACAACGGATAGAGTCCCTTTGAGAGAGATTAAAATGTTGTCATAGGTTTTTTTAAATATATCTTCATAAAATATGTGCAACCTTTTAAAGATTTGTTCTGCACAACGATAAAATTAAAAACATCTATGGTAATGAGATTAACGGTAGTACCATGAAATTGAGAGTTGCAACAATGAGATAATGTGTTCGGTTAAAAAGTGACAGTGTGGAAGGATAAAATGTGATGCACAGAAAAAATATCATTAAGGGTAATATAAATTATTTATTATGTAATTTCATAAATATATATATATATATGACATTTGTTTAATTAAAAATGGTAAATGAGAACTAAATACCAGTAATAGTTTAGAATCTAACCAAAGAACTACAACTAGTAATTAGAAATGTTAGGACTTTAGGACTTGTCCACGGGTACACGGTTGTCATCATATCCTTTGCTTTGCCGGTATTGGTGTCTAGAACTAAATCTACTTTAAATTCTGTTCAGTAGATATTTTCATTAAGCTCATCCCAGATCCTAATGGCCAACCGTCAGCAATTACTTGATAAAAAGCAACAGGCCAATTGCTTGTTTCCCAAAACCAGCTAAGTTTTCTTTCGGGGATCAACGATCATGCCGCTTGATCCAATCCATAAAACCAAGTGCCAACTAGAATGCTACGGGGCATGAGGTGGAAATGATCCCTCAAGCCCACTTCTGGAAGGGCTAACCGAAAAAGAACATACTTATAACCTGTGAGCCTGTAATTCATGGTGGCCAATATCTTCAATTAGGCCTGCTGGCTGCATCCTGGATTGATAATTAAGACTTGGTTGACCTACACCAGGCCCAGAAATACCAGATCTCCAATTTGAGTATATTGGACAGGAGCCCACCTTTCTCTGTTTATGACAAAACATCACTTCATTTTGTCTTTATTAGTAAGGATATGCAAACAGTTAGTTCGTTAAAATTGATTTTAAAAATTTCAAAATCAAACCTTTTTTATAAAAATAAGAATAGAGTAAAAATAGTTTAGTAACCCTAAAACCAAACACCAAACTAGTTTGATTAGTTCGATTCTATTATCAAAAATCAAACTCATGAAGATGGAGAGAAAAAAATGTGAGGATATGACATTTTTTTAATTAGATCTCATGTTGAGATTTATTTTTTAAAAAATTATTGAGATTTTTTTCTTTTTTTTATTTGAATAATAAAGAATGAAGAATTTTCTGTTGTTTTTTTAACCAAAGCTCACTTATCTTCTTTAAGTATTACTCAACTTGATTAATTCGGTTGTTTCGGTTGAGAAAATTCAAAATCAAAAACTAAACCGATTATGCTGTTCTAGTCGAACTTTTTTTTAAAATTTCTAACCAAATTGAATTAATCGAAATAATCAAATACCAATCTAATCAAATCAAAAAAGCCAAACTCACTTTAATTCCGTTCAATTCTTCTATTCAGTTTGAATTTGCACACTTCTATCTATAAGAATATTTTGCTCAATTTCAACTTTTGATTATAGATGGAATGAATATAAGAAAAAGAAAAGAGAATTGCTAAAGAACCTGAAAAAGTATCAATCTCGATAATCTAAGCAAAAGGTATTAAATCTTTGGTTTTAAAATTTAAATTATTTTTACATGTAATTGGAATAATTCAGTGTATTTCCCAAAAAAAAGAAAGAGAGGAGTTGTGAACATGCTTGAATTATTACAATGCCGGTTGTCTAGTCGACCACCCAGGCTTGGTTTTTTGCACTAATTCATTCACTTTAATTTTGTGAAATATTCCACTAAGCTACCATGATATCAGCCAATCAATGAGCAAAGGGAAAAAGAATTGCAAGAAATTTCATTGTATGCTGATAATGAAGTCTTAAACTCCAACTGCATAGAAAAGATATGAAACTTGTAGCCTGTGGAAGACACCTGTCAGCATTGGATGGGATTTTTGATGGTTCAAACGAAGATACTTTTGCCCAATAAAGAGATACTCACATATCTTTAATTAATTAATGCCTAAATCAAAGCCTTTCAACTTTCTTATGTTTCATGATTAAGCTTTTCAAGGGTGACAACTCACTCCCACAAATCGATAAGACAACTTTTAACTACAATCAACCAAAAAGCTTGGCCTGGGTTGGCAACCCTAGCTCTCTTGCCTGGTGTTTTCCGGCCAGCAATCAAACCTTTCTTTGACTCTCTTCATCTCCCACCTCTTTTTCTTTTTAAGTGCCCAAATATTGGCC